TACTGTTTGGGAGATTTTCAACTGTTCTCAGGCCACTTCACAGGCTGTGAGTTCCTCCTGGAACTCTGCTAAGAAGTCTGCCTGGACACTTCTTCTATCTGTCCTAAAAACATCCCTTGGTGCCTGTAAAGTCGTTTAAATGGACTAAAACTGGTGCAACTTTTGGGTAAGTCCCTGGTGGTAAATAGAAGGTGATCTCATAATTTATTCCAGTTACAATAACTGCAACATGTCCACACAGTACCTTGGCAGTGCCACTACCTTGGGGGGATCTGTGTCTATTCCTTACTTACAGGTCTGTGAGGGAGTTCCCATTTCCTTATCAGCGCCTCACTTTTAATAAAGTGGCATTCAGAAATGACTTCTACCTCAACTCCAGTGTATGTGGTCTGAGCATGTGTTTCTAACGGTGGGTCAACTTGTTGGAATGCTACCAAATTATTTCTATTTTTTACCTCCTTGGGACCTCCTAGACTTCCAAGATGGTGGTGGCAGAGTAAGTAATGTTCAAGATCCTGAGTCCAAGTCTCGTCCACTCTGTCTGCATTTCTTTTTTCTTCATTTTGTTGTTTTATTTTCTTCTCCTTAGTAATTTTACTTACCTTCTTGTGGAGGGCTTAGTCATGGTGTCATCGGTGTCAGTGGCATCGGTGGCGGCGGATGCAAAACAGGGAGGCAGTTTGGGCCCAGTAGGGGACCTAGCAGCATCTTTAGCGGCTTTCTTGCTGTGTTGGGCCTAGCATCAAGTATGAGCCCAGTTCAGGACTTGGCAGCATCAGTGGCAGTTGACAAGATCGGTCCAGTTTGGACTCATGACAGTGGGATGTCGGTGGAAGCAAGATGGCACCAAAGAATGGCGATTTTGTTCCAGTGTGGCAGTGTGGTGAAGGGACCTGAGCCTGGCCAACAGCTTTGTCCTGGTATTGGACTCGGCATCGCGGTGGAAAAGCCTGGATCCAGGCCCATGGCTAAGAACATAAAGGGACGACTGTAAAGTTGAACTTTTAATTTTATTTCCTTACTTTCCACCTTTATATTCTATGTATTGGATTATTTTCTGCATTTTAAGATGGCGCTGGAAAGTGGTGACACGATACAACACTTTTAACCGTATTTGTAACACGTAACAATAAATAAATATTAATAATAATAGACTTCTGAAAACCATTTTAGATAGCCAGATCAAAGTGTCTTTGTTTGCACTGCCACCTGAGCCTCCACTGGCTAAGATCAGAAAGCCCATGAACACAGAGTCAGGCAAACTATGACCCAATTTCTCCAGCAGCTGTTCGGTCAGCCTGACCTCATGAGCTTCGCAGAAACTACTGGGGATGCTATGTACATTTCATCCTGCCAGATTATTGCCAAGAAGCAGGTTAATCCTGTCCACAGTCATTGGTGCCGACACAAGGTCGCACTCCAGATGCACCCAGTAAAAGGGAATGGGCATGTAGCCTCCTTCAATCACTTTTACCATCATCTTGCCACTGACTGCCCTCTCTAGTGGCAAGATCAAACAGCATTGGAGTTTGACTATCCCAGGCGTCCATCTTTATCACTACAGGCCAGAGAAATGTGCTCACACTTCCTTTAGATTCAAAATCTTGGTAACTCTTCTGTAGAATTGATTTGTTGAACCTCATCTATATTCTCAGGAGTTCCCTCACGGAAACCTGCAGTTGCAGTCAGAGCTGTAGCCTGGTCTGCTCGGCTCTCTGACTGACACCTATTTTCTGTAAGAGGTGTACGTGCTCCAAAAAATCTCACTGTTATTTCCCTCCAGCAGTTTGGCCCAGACATCGTATTTAGAACATGCAGGTTTCTTAGCCTCACCTTCATCTCAGATCATTATTTCTTTCCTCAGGAGGGCTCCTAGCATCTGAGCTTTCCCACTGGTTTCCTATCAGTCTTCTCCAATTCTGTTCTTTCTTATGGCTTGGGATGATGAGGGGAGAGTTTATATGGGAATAAGGATTTGTGGATCAGCACATAATTCACCAGCTTGTGTGGTGACTTGCCTAGACCATTACCCCCTCATCATCCTCAGTTTCTACTTTTAAGCAATTAAAATTCCAGGTTTTCTGGCTTTTGAGTGAAATACTAATCCCAACTGCCTCATTAAATCTTTTAATTATTCAAGGCACAGGCACTTAAAACCTCAAAGGTAACTTTCTTTAATTCTCATTGAAAAATGTTGGCTTTGAATGCAGATATTTGCACACCCTAATAGTGAAAAATCAAGAAAGACTTTTTCAGATTTTTAAAAACTTGGCTTTAAATTGACAATTTATCCACTCAGGACCTTTGTTTGTTGGTTCAAATCGTAGCATAAGCCCCCAATTTGTTATGCCCAGACCCAAGGCAGCGTTCCCCAGTTTGTTACAATTCCAGATATTAGTAATGCACACATGCACACAGATCAGAAAAAGAGGTACGTTTAAAAACTTCCAAAAGGAAATTTAGATAAATCAGTATCGGAATTATTCATGAAGATTGGATAATTGTACATTGCGGCAATTGTAGTGGAGGATATCAGTATCATTGGCATGGGTGGTTGTATAGTCAATTGCAAACTTCTTAGTTTTTCAGGTCAGTTGAGGTTCTGTTGTTCTGATTCCTTTTGACCATGACTGGATTCCACCATTCAGAGTACGAAAGAGTCCTTTTATTGTCCTGTTTCATCTTGACTGGTTTACCAGCTCCTCGATTGTTAGCACTCAGAGTCATAGAGTAAGAGGATAGAAAGAGGCTCTTTGGCCCACTATCTTTATGCCAATCAATGAACACCAAACTATTCTGATCACATTTACCTGCACTAGGTCCATAGCCTATTATGCCCTGGCATTTGAAATGCTCTTCCAGCTGGTTCTTAAATATTGCGAGAGTACTTATCTTCAACACCCTCTCAGGCAATGCATTCATATGTCTACTAAATTCTGGGTGAAAAAAATGTTTTCCTCTGATCCCCTTTAAAGTACTTACCCCTCACCTTAAACTTACGCCTTCTGGTCTTAGACATGTCTATATGGGGAAAAGATGCCCACAGTCAACCCTTTCTATGCCTTTTATAATTTTGTATACCTCAATCAGATCCTCTCTCAGACTCCTCTGCTCCAAGGAAGACAAAGCTAGCCTATCCAGTCACTTTTCAGAACTGAGATTTTATGTCCCAGGAAACATCCCGGTGAATCTCCTCTGCATCCTCTCCACTGCAATCACATTCTTCCTATAGTGTGGTGAACAGAACTGCACACGGTATTCCATCTGTGGCCCAGCCAATGCTCTATAAAGTTGCAATAAGTTTTCCCTGCCCCTGTATTCTACACCCTGCATAATGAAGGCAAGCATCTCATATGCCTTCTTCACCACCTGATCTACCTGTGTTGACACCTTCAGGGATCTTTGGACTTCTAGACCAAGGTCCCTTTGTTCCTCAGTACTCTCTTGGGACCAACCATTCATTATGTGAATCCTTCCCTTATTCAGCCTCCCAAAACGCATCACCTCCCATTTACCAGGATTAAGTTTTATCTTTCTGCTCAATTTGCCAGGTGAATTAATAAATCTAATCTCCCTTGCCTACTGTAGAAGCCTGAGATACATCTCATCAGGCCATGGGGATTTATGCACCTTTATGCCTGCTAAAATGTCTAATACCTCCTCCTTACTCATTGTAACATGCTCTAGAAACTCACCATCCCAACTGAAATCTCCAGCTGCAATATCTTTCTCCGTTGTGAATACAGATGAGAAATATTCATTTAAGACCTCATCCACATCCTCTAGCTCCATACACAGGTTGCTGCTATGGCATTTAATAGTCCCCATTCTATCCCTGGCAATCCACTAGTTCTTAATATATTTATAAAATGCCTTGGGGTTTTCCTTATTCCTTTCTGCCAAAGATATTTCATGGGCCCTCTTTATCCTCCTAATTTTATTTAAGCAATGCCCTACACTCTATATCCCTGTTTTTAATGCACTGTACTGAACATATGCTTTCTTCATTTTCATTATCAAACTCGCAATATCCTTTGACATTCAGAATTCCCCAGACTTGCTGCCTGTGCTCTTCATTCTTAGAGGAACACACTGGCCTTGAACTCTCATAATACAAAATTAAAAGACTCCTATTTTCCAAATGTGCACTTACCTGCAAGTAGCTGCTCCCAGTTTATATTTGCCATATCCTGTCTAATGATATTGAATCTGGCCGAACTCTAACTTAGAAACTTCTTCACTGTCCTCATCTCTTTTCATGAAGACTTTGAAGCTTAGAGAGATGTGATCACAATCACAAAATGTGCATTCACTAACACTTCAACCACTTGACTGGCTTCATTTCCGGGAGTAGGTCTAGCACTGCTCCATCTCGAGTCGGACTATCTATGCACTGCACAAAAAGCCCTCCTGGATGCACTTTAAGAATTCCACCCCATCTAATTCTTTTACTCTAATTCAATCTGAGTTAATTTTAGCAAAGTAGAAATTGTATACAACTATAACCCTATTCCTTTTATACCCATCTGCAATTTGGCTCCATGTTTGCTCCTCTATCTCCTTCTGACTGTTAGGAGGCCTGAAGTATAATCTCAGCAAAATGATCGCCCCTTTTTTTAATTTCTAAATTCTACCCAGATGGCCTCATTTGAAAAGTCTTCTAAGACATTGTCCCTCATTACATCAGTGACGGACTCCTTTATCAATAAAGTAATGCCCCCACCTCTCTTACACACACTCATCACATCTGAAACTTCTATATCCTGGAATGTTGAGTTGCCAGTCCTGCCCTTACTTCAACCATGTCTCAGTGATTGCAACAGTATCATAATCTCATGTGCCGTTCAATGCTCTGAGTTTATTCACCTTAGCAGTCAGGCTCCTTGCATTAAAATTGGAGCAGTTGAGATTTCTGGTCCTCCCATGTGTCTTACCTTGCCCATGCTCACCTCTAATCCTTCTCTTTTTGGGAGAAAATACTCCTTGCTTATTCCTGCTAGGTAAAATCCAAGCAAATTTTTCTTAAAGCTTCTGCAGTACCTGCAATGGATGGTCGAGAAGACAAGTCTGCTGCAAGCTTTTATTTTATTTCCAAGTGGACTTTTAAGCTGGGTAACTGTGTAAGTTGAAAAGTCATCAAATTCTCCAGTAATGAGGTTTAGGCTATTTCAGTTCCCAAGACTGATTTAAATTGCTCGCATTTCACTTGATCCCACAGAATGTAAATCAACTTGCCTTATTTTTGCCTCTTCTGATCACACTCCTTTAGTCTGCTGGCCTGCTCTGACGGGAAGGCCACTGCAGCTTCCTATTGAAGCGATGTGTTAATATTGCAATTAGGGTTCAATATGCATATGGAGGTCAACGGCCCAGCTGGCTGTGGATGTATGCGCTTGCATTCTGACTTTTGGCATCTCCACAGCAGGTAAGCATCTTCAACAAAATGAGCTGTCCATCCTACAACTGTTCATGGATAGGTAAGGCTAGAGTCACCCTGATTTGTAATCTGCTTGGAAGAAGATTGTCTATCTATTGTTAACTAAATAGTAGTGCAGGATTTGAGGGATTCAATAATAGAAGCAAAACCAAAGAATGGTCATGAAATTCTTATAAGCATATGGCAAAACTGGGTTTTTTGGTGGAATTTATTCAAGCCCAAATAACGTTTGCACCTATAAGGGGAAGGCAATGGCCTCGTGGTGTTATCACTGGACTGTTAATCAAGAGACCCAGGTAATGTTTTGGGGACCTGTGTTTGAATCACAGCAGATGGTGAAGTTTGAATTCAATAAAATATCTGGAATTAAGAATCTAATGATGACCATCAATCCATTGTTGATTGTTGGGAAAAACTCATCTGGTTCACTAATGTCCTTCAGGGAAGGGAACTGCCATCCTTACCTGGTCTGGCCTACATGTGACTCCAGATCACAGCAATAGGGATGGGCAATAAATGCTGCCAAGCCAGTGACACCCTCATCCTATTAATGAATAAAGGAGAAAAAAAAAATGGTGTAAAAGACAACCAGATGTTTCCTGAAGATTGAGCATAAATTGAAATCTATAGATAGATGTTTGGAAGTGAGTTCTATTTACATGTTCAACTAATAGGATGAAAATTTTACAATTGTCCACTGTTTAGTGAAATGATTATTTCAGCACTGTAAATTTATCTAAGTTAACAGTTATTATAAAAATATATTGCAGCATTATGTTACATATCTGAATATTATTAACAACATTTTTATATAGTGCTTCAAGCAACTCTTTTGGTACGTGATCCAGAGACTGGAAAACTCTATTCGAACTTTGATCATAGAATTCTTGAGATCCTTCGAGAGTCTAAGTGCATGTTAAAGATGGATTTGGAGATTCCAGAGATAGCCAAACGTCTGTTAAAAATTGAAAATACATTAAAATCTAACTGTAACAATTTGGAGGTAGGTCATATAGTATTTCTTTGTGAGATATGGTGAGGATGTATTTTGCAATTTCTAATTGGATGCTCAATGTAGTTCTACTCCATTATGCCATTACAATTATCAATATAAAGCAAAATTGTAGGACAGAATTTTACATGGGTCTGAGTGATGTGGCCTATGGGGAGATGTGTGGTAGAATTGGGCAAGGCCCATCTTGACATTAAGATCATCTCTCCCTCCATACTTTATACTTTTCACAAGCAGCTTGGGTGAAATTCTCACCAGGCTGTGAATTAATTAATGGTCATCATTGATTATTAAAAGCCATATTAATGGCATAACTTGCCTCATTAATACTTAGCCTCAGGAATTAACATTAATATTTAGCATCAGAAAAACTCAGCAAGGAAACCAGAGCAAGCACCTGACAGATATAACTTGCCACTTGCTCTAAAAGGCCTCCATGTTGAATACCACCAACATCTCATGGCACCTGCCACAGACACCCCACATCCAGCCACATTGGCATCTGACATGTGCCAACCTCTAAGAATCCTCATGGCATATCTCCAGCCCACTTACAGGATGCTTCAACACTTCAGTGCTGCACCTGCCAACTATCATTGTACTTCTCCAGCACTCAGGGACACACACCCAAGTGGAAACATCTTCACTCTATCCACTCTGTCCAACTCATTCAAAATTTTGAACACCTTAATCAGATCCCCTCTCAATCTTCTCTCTAATGAGAACAGTCCCAACTTCTTTAATCTATCCTCATAGCTGGTGTCTCATATCTGGAACTATTCCAGTAAATTGCTTCTGCAGCCTGTCCAATGCATTTGTATAAAGTAGTACCCATGGCACAGTAGTCTAGCCGAGATCTAACAAGTACCTTTTACAAGCTCAACATTACCTTCATGTTCTTGTACTCTATGCCTCTATTACTAAAGCTGAGTACACTGTATGCTTGAGTTACTGCTCTCTCCATCTGTTCTCCCACTTTGAATGATCTGTGCACATATTTTATGACAGACTACATATACAGAGAAAGAATCAGCTTGGCTTCATGACGATAATGGATGCTTGTGGATGTGGTGCTAATCAAGCAGGTTGCATTGTCCTGGATGATATCAAGCTTCCTGGGTGTTGTTGGAGCTTGCTCATCCAGGCAAGTGGAGAGTACTCCATCACACTTCTGATTTTTGCCTTGTAAATGGTGGATAGGCCTGGGGAGTCAGGAGGTGAGTTACTTGGTACTAGGGATTCCTAGCCTCTGATATGTTCTTGTAGCCACAGTGTTTATATGGCTGACCCGGTTAAGTTTTTGGAAACCCCCAGGATATTGACAGTGGGAATCAGGACACTATGGCTCTATTCTCTCTAGTTGGGATTTGGTCATTGCCTGGAATTTGTGTGGTGTAAATGTTGCTTGCTACATTTCAGCCCAAACTTGGTCCAGTTCTTCCTGGGTTCGGGCATGGACTGGTTTGGTATCCTAGGAGTCCTGAATAACGTTGAGCATTGTGCAGTTATCCGTAAGCATTCCCACTTCCGACCTTATGATGGAGTGCAGCTCATTTATGAAGCAGCTGAAGATCATTGCGCCTAGGATACTACCCTAAGGATCTCATGTAAAGATATCCTGGAACTGAGATGACAGCTCCAAAAACCACAGCCATCTGCCTTTAAGTAACATATGACTCCAACCAGCAGAGAGATTTCCCCTATTTCCATTAACTCCAGGAGGAGGTGTTGGGTGTTTTGAAGAGCATTAAGGTAGACAAGTCCATAAGACCTGATGGGTCTATCCCACCACACTGAGGGGGGCGAGGCAGGAAATAGCTGGGACTTGAACAAAATCATTGTATCCTCTTTAATCACAGGAGAGGTCCCAAAAGACCAGAGAATAGTTGTTGTTGTTCCTTTGTTAAGAAGGGCAACAGAGATAATCAGGGAAATTATAGGACAGTGAGATTTATGTCAATGATATGGAAATTTATGGAGAAGATTCTTAGAAAAGGATTTACACACATTTGGAAAAATATGTATTATTTGCGATAGGCAGCATGGCTTTGTGTGGGAGAGGTTGTATCTTAAAATCTTGATTGGATTTTTTTAAGGAAGTGACAAAGATATTTGATCAGAGTAGAGCAGTAGATGTTATCTACATGGACTTTAGCAAGGCCTTTGACAAGGTCCCTCATGGCAGGCTGATGCAGAAGGTGAAGTCATATGGGATCCACAATGAGCTGGTAAGATGGATACAGAACTGGTTTGGTCAGAGAAGACGGAGAGTAGTGGTGGAAGGGTGTTTTTCTGACTCGAGATCTGTGACAGGGATCAGTGCTCGAACTCTATTGTTTGTGAGATATCTATAAATGACCTGCAGGAGAGTAAAGGTTTGATTTGATTTATTATTGTCATATGTACCTACGTACAGTGAAAAGTTTTGTTTTGCAAGCAGTACAGATAGTCCATAAAATTCAAGGAAATACAGATCATAGGGTGCTTAGACGGAGCGAGGCATACAAGGTTACAGCTGCACAAGAGGTGCACAAAGCAAGATCAACATTAGGTTTGAATTAGAGAGGTCTATTCATCACTCTAATAACAGCAAGGAAGAAGCTGTTCTTGAACCTGTTGGTATGTGTGTTCAAGCTTCTGTATCTTTTGCTTGACCTAAGAGCTTGGAAGACAGTATTACTAGGGTGGGAGGGGCCTTTGATGATGTTGGCAGCCTTTCTGTGGCAATAAGAAATATAAATGGAGTCCATGGATGGGAGGTTGGCTTCCGATATGGCCTGGTCTGTGTACAGAACTTTCTCTAGTTTCTTACGATCTTGGGCAAAGTAATTGCTATTCTAAATTGTTATGCACCCGGATAGAATTCTTTCTGTGGTGCTTCTGTAAACATTGGTGAGGGTCCTTATGGAAATGCCGAATTTCCTAAGCCACCTGAAGAAGAAGAGGTGTTGTTGTGCCTTCTTGATTGTTGCATCCACGTGGAATGTCCAAGACATATTGTTGGCTAACATCACTCCTTGTTACAGCCTTGGTTCAAACATGGACAAAAGCGCTGAATTCCAGAGGAAAGGTGAGAATAACAGCCCTTAACAAAAGGCCACTTTCAACCAAGCATGCCTTCAAGAAGCCCCAGCAAAAATTGAATCAATGGGAATCAGTGCAAACTCTCCACTGGTTGGAGTTGTACCTGGCTCATGGGAAGATTGTTGTGATGTTGGAAGTCAGTCATCTCAGCTCCAGGACATCTCTGCAGGAGCTCCTCAGGCTCCTCCTACTGGGCCCAACCATCTTTAACTGCTTAATCAATGACCGTCCCTCCATCGTAAGGTTGGAAGTTGGGATGTTCGCCATTGGTTGGATAATATTCAGCACCATTCGTGGATGAAGGAAAATCCCAAGGCTTTTTATACATATATAAAGAGCAAGAGGGTAGCCAGGCAGAGGGTTGGCTCACTAAAGGACGGGGAAGGGAATTTATGCGCGGAGCCAAAGGAAATAGGTGAGGTATTAAATGAGTACTTTGCGTCAGTATTCACCAAGAAGGACTTGGTGGATGATGAGTTGGGGGAAGGGTGTGTAAATAGTTTGGGTCATGTTGAGATCAAAAGGGAGGAGGCATTGGGGGTCTTGAAAAACATTAAGGTAGACAAGTCCCCAAGGCCTGATGGGATATACCCCAGAATACTGGGAGAGGCAAGGGAGGAAATTGCTGGGGCCTTGAGGGAAATCTTTGTATCCTCACTGGCTACAGGGGAGGTCCCAGAAGATTGGAGAATAGCCAATGTTGTTCCATTGTTTAAGAAGGGTTGTAAGGATAATCCAGCCAATTACAGGCCAGTGAGCCTTACGTCAGTGGTAGGGAAATTATTGGAGAGGATTCTTTGAGACAGGATTTACCCTCTCTTGGAAACCAGTGGGCGTATTAGCGAGAGGCAATGTGGTTTTGTGAAGGGGAGGTCGTATCTCACTAACTTGTTGGAGTTTTTTGAGGAAGTAACGAAGATGATCGATGAGGATGTAGTCTACATGGATTTCAGTAAGGCCTTTGACAAGGTCCCTCATGGCAGGCTGATACAGAAGGTAAAATTGCATGGGGTCAAAGGTGAGCTTGCAAGATGGATAAAAATCTGGCTCGGTCATAGAATACAGAGTGTAGCAGCGGAAGGGTACATTTCTGAATGGAGGGCTGTGACTAGTGGTTTTCCTCAGGGATCAGTGTTGGGACCTTTGCTGTTTGTAATATATAATAATGATTTGGAGGAAAATGTAACTGGGCTGATGAGTAAGTTTGCCGATGACACAAGGGTTGGTGGAATTGAGGATAGCAATGAAGACCATCAGAGGATACAGCAGGATATAGATTGGTTGGTGACTTGGGCAGTGAGAGGGCAGATGGAGTTTAATCCGGAAAAATGTGAGGTAATGCATTTTAGAAGGTCTAATCCAGATGGAAAATATACAGTAAGTGGCAGAACCTTTAAGAGTACTGATAGGCAGAGGGATCTGGGTGTACAGGTACACAGGTCACTGAAAGTGGCAATGCAGATGGAAAAGGTAGTCAACAAGGCATATGGCATGCATGCCTTCATCTGCCGAGGCACTGAGTTTAAAAATTGTCAGGTAATGTTGTAGCTTTATAGAGCCTTGGTTAGGCTGCATTTGGAATATTGTGTTCAATTCTGGTCACCACACTACCAGAAGGATTCGGTGGCTTTGGAGAGGGTACAGAAAAGATTTACCAGGATGTTGTCTGATATGGAGGGCATTAACTATGAGGAGAGATTGGAGAAACTTGGGTTGTTCTCACTGGAACAACAGAGGTTAAGGGGCGACCTGATAGAGGTCTACAAGATTATGAAAAGCATGGACAGAGAGGACAGTCAGAAGCTTTTTCCCAGGGTGGAAGAGTCAGTTACCAGGGTTCATAGGTTTAAGGTGCGAGGGGCAAGGTTTAAAGGTGATGTAAAAGGCAAGTTTTTTACACAGAGGGTGGTGGGTGCCTGGAACTCGCTGCCGGGGGAGGTAGTGGAAGCAGATACTATAGTGACGTTTAAAGGGTGTCTTGACAAATACATGAATAGGATGGGAATAGAGGGATATGGTCCCCGGAAGGGTAAAGGGTTTTAGTTGTGACAGGCAGCAGGTCAGTGCAGGCTTGATGGGCCAAAGGGCCTGTTCCTGTACTGTAATTTTTCTTTGTTCTTTGTTTGTTCTTTTATCTCAAATTCTGAAAGAGCCGATGTTCAATACAACAAGATCTGGACAACATCCAGGCTTGAGTTGCTAAGTGACAAGTAACATTTCATAGAATCTTAGAATCCCTACAATGTGGGAGTGGGCCATTCTGCTGCTCAAGTCTACACTAACACCCTGAAAAGCATAGCACCCAGACCCATCCCCCTCCTCTATCCCTCTAACCCTGCGTATCCCATGGCTAATCCACCTAACCTTCACATCTTTTGACTGTGAGAGGAAACTAGAGCACCTGGAGGAAACCCACACAGACACAGGAGAATGTGCAAACTCCACACAGGCAAGTCGCCTGAGGGTGGTATCGAACCTGGGCTCTTGGCGCTGATTGCAGCAGTGTTAACACCTGCACCACTCAAATGCCAAGCAATGAACATCTTCAAAAAGAGACAATCTAACCACCGACCTCGGTATTTAATAATGTTCTGATCACTGAATCCCCACATTCTTGGTTTACCATTGACTGGAAACTCAACTACGCTCATCATATAAATCTGTTGTTACAAGGGAGGATTAGAGACTAGGAATACTGCGGAGAGTATCTTCCCTCATGATGCCTCCAAGCCTATCCCCACCTACAAGGCACAATTCAGGGCTATGATGGAATGCTCCCCACTGGCCTGGATGGCTGCAGCTCCAACGATCAAGAAGCTTGACAATCCAGGAATAAACAAACCAGTTGATTAGCACCACATCCACAAGCGTTCAATCCCTTCACTACCGACACCCAGTAGCAGCAGTTTATATTATCTGCAAGATGCATTGCAGAAATTCAACTTCCTTAGGCAGCACCTTCTGAACCCATAGCTGATTCCAGCACCACTTCTGAAAGAAAAAGGTAGCTGATACATAGGAGCACCACCACCTGCAAATTCCCTTCCAAGCTACTCAGCATCCTGACTTGGAATATATCGCTATTCCTTCACTGCTGCTAGATCAAAATCCTGGAATTCCCTCCCTAACATCATTGTGTGTCAACCTACAGCACATGGACTGCAGTAGTTTAGGAAGACTGGTCACGAACACATATCCCTGAAGCTGGCAGTGAAGGTTAATAGGGTAGTTAAGAAGGCTGACAAGATGCTTGCCTTTATCAATCGAGACAAAATTATAAAAGCAGGGAGCTTATGTTGGAGCCGTAAAGGACTTTGCTTAGGCCACAGATGGAGTACTGTATGCAGGGATGGGTTAGCCATGGTAAATGTGGGATTATGGGCATTAGGTGGGTCTGGGTAGGATGCTGTTTGGAGGGTTAGTGCAGACTCAATGGGCCAAATTGGCCTGTTTCTGTGATATTGGGATTCTATGATTCCTGTTGGGAAGGAACTGGCATCCCTTACCTGGTCCAGCCTACATGTGACACCAGACCCATAGCAATGCGTTTGACTCTTAACTGCCTTCTAGGCAATTCGAGATGGGCAATAAATGCTGGCCCAATCGTGATCCAAGGAGGCACAATCTTAAGATGAAAGGCAGGAGATTTCGAGGGGACTTGAGCTGGCCCAATCGTGATCCAAGGAGGCACAATCTTAAGATGAAAGGCAGGAGCTTTCGAGGGGACTTGAGGATTTCTTTTTACCCAGAGGGTGGTAGGGGTCAGGAATGCACTACATGAGAGGGTAGTTGAGGCTGATAACCTCACACCATTAAAAAGTTCTTGAATGAGCACTTGAAACGCCGTAACATTCCAGGCAATGGGCCTAGTAGTGGAAAGTAGGACTAGAGTAGATTTAGTCTACTTTTGGCAGTACAGACTTGATGGCCCAGTTTCTGAGGAAGGGTCACCAGACCCGAAATATTAACTCTGTTTTTTGCCTTCACAGATGCTGCCAGACCTGCTGAGCTTTTCCAGCAACTTTGTTCTTGATGGCCCAAAAGACCTCCTGTACTGTATGATTCTAAGACCTCTACTTGCAGACATGGTGCTGTTAGTTTTATGGATGCTTTGATGACCAGCGCTGTCTGAATTTCAGTCAAGACTCTTAAGTGTCTGACACTGATAACTCGTGTTCTTTCATATTCGCCCACTGATGCTTAAAATCATGCTGTCTTCATGTACTGTTGTTGTGATGTAGGTCTTTGCCTCCAGCAGGGTGTTTGTACTTGATGAGGCAATATTTATGTTAGCTGATGTAACATGGACACAGGCACAGAGATTCAATCGATCTTTATTTCAGCTCTTGGTATACACATATACTAGAGTTACATGCACTTCAGTATTGGCTAATTTTAAGCTATTCAGTTACAAAGAGAAGCACACTTCCTTCATCATTTCATGCTTCAAGTGGCTCCAGTTAAGAAGAAGTCTGAGACCTTTATCCTCTCAGATCGCGTGTTATGATATGGGATGATATCATAAGCATGTTTCTTAAAGGTATACTGTATACAAGATGTGGGACAGAACATAATACTCGCACTTGCAATCTGTCCCCCATTCAGCTGCAGGTTCAACTTCACCGTTCCATATTCAGGCCTTAGTCTGAGTGAAACGTCACCTTCACACTGTTTTCTGCCCCTTCAATCACATTTTTGCTGATTGCTAGGGAACAAGACTCATGATTGGAGGAGCAGATCCTTTCCAATGCATCATTTTCACTTACTTAAATGTTGTTAAGAGAGTAGCAGAAGTCAAATCTTTTCATCTTACACTCATCAGATCTAGGATGCAGCAAACAGACCTGAGAAAAGACACACTGAAGTTGTCAGCATGAGAAGAGGGTGCTGATTATTTGGGTCACATTGATATGGAGATGTAGCAAGATCAGTTAACTGTCAGTCTTAGAGCTCAGACCAAGCCGGTAGACACTGATTGTCAGGGAGTGGCCATGGGAATGCAGCAGAAATTGGCAGTCTCCATGGCCCTGTTTTTCATGAAAAAGGTACAATATCTGTATAAATTCCTTTTGTCTTCATATATAGAGTCCTACATACTCATATACATAGCTTTTAGCACATGCGAATATATTTCATGGCAAGACTGACTGATGATCTTAAATTGGTTTCCATTGTAATTTTCAACACAGTCTGGATTATTTAATAAATGATTTACGATAGCAGAATCATATCTAATGTTCTGAGGGTTGCAAGCATGAACTGCTTGAGCACAATTGGAATGCTGTCTGCTGCAAATGGTCATCAGGACGTGTTTGATGTAGTCCGTCAGTTGCTAGGAAGTAAGCCTATATAACTGGCATCACATCGAACTGAAACATATATCACAGAGAAGATGTCTCAAAAACCTGAGCAACAGGTGAACCCACCTACTTATGCTGCACGTTTGCAGTTAACCCACAAGCAGTTTACTTCACTAACAAGGACAAAAACAAAGTTGGTGGAAAATCTCAGCAGGTCTGGCAGCATCTGTGAAGGAAAAAACAGAGTTAATGTTTCGGGTCCGGTGACCCTTCCTCGGAACAGTTCTGAGAAAGGGTCACCTGGAACCGAAACGTTAATTCTGTTTTATCCTTCACAGATGCTGCCAGACCTGCTGAGCTTTTCCAGCAACTTTGTTTTTGTTCCTGATTCACAGCATCCGCAGTTCTTTTGGTTTTTACTTCACTAACAAGATTCTGTTGTCAAGTCAAAGGTGTTTTGTCTACCTCAGAAATGTCATGTGTGATTTTCATTGCCAGTGTGATACCAGATATGTTGGTTTGGATTTATAATGGTGACCATGAAACTCCCAGATTTTAACTAGAGCTCTTTAGATAAAGAAATATGTCATCCTGGTTTGGTTATATAGTCTTACTTCCTAGCAACTGACAGACTACATCAAACAACATGTCCTGATGACCATTTGCAGCAGACAGCATTCCAATTGCGCTGAAGCAGTTCATACTTGCAACCCTCAAAACATTAGATGTGATTCTGCTATTGTAAATCATTTATTAAATAATCCAGACTGTGTTGAAAATTACAATGGAAACCAATTTAAGATCATCAGTCAGTCTTGCCGTGAGGTGTATTCGCAAGTGCTAGTCCTTTGTAAAATTAGGGATGAGAAATAAATACTATCCTCTTCAATTATGCTCATATCCTAAGAATGATTAAAAATAAATTAAAACATTTCTTCTTTTGTATTCCGAAAATCAGTCTGTTCTTCATTCGTTTGAGACTGTGTGCCAAAGAATTCCTTCTGAGTTTATGGCATTGATAACACCTAAAGTCAACAAGGTGAGTACTAAATTGTTCAGGTAAAAATAAAAGTCATTCTATAGTAAAAGCAAATCACGCGTACATTGATAAACAAAAGAAAAATATTACAACCGCGTTGCTATCCATTTATACTTACAAATGGGTTTCTTATGGTACAAAACTGAGCAATAACAGATGAATTGGCAATTATATTGCCTTTGTTTTCATAACCAGAATATAGATGGCTAATTTTAATTTTATTGCAGTATGAAAAGCTATACAATAGTGTGTCAGCAGTCCATTTTACATCTTCACAAATGTTCTTTTTGATTAACATGTAACTTATGTCAGTATGTTCTTTTGGGGGGGAGGCTGGGGGCAGGGGCGAGGGGAGGCTTCTGGCTTGCTGTTTAGTTTCAATTTGGGTTTACGTCAGAATAAAATTGCTCAGTGGAGGGACAGTGCAAATATAATGGGTCAAAAGGGCTTCTCCACAAACCTAAGCCAGGCTCTAGTAGTTAATGTACAAAGACAGATTACAAAAACCTAGCTTCTATTTCTTTAAGGTTAGACAATTCAAGGATGTTTTACTCATTGAAATTGAGGCTTCAGAAAAACTTTAGATAAGTATCACAAGTTTAATTCCCAGATGTAAGCAGCTTAGTTACTAAATAGGTTTGTCCAAGAGCTGCTCCTCTCGTTCTTGGATTTATGTGTGTTTCATTTGATATGTATAAGATGATGAAGGAACTTTTATTGTAGATGCATTGTCATTTGCTACTACAGAATTTGAATATTGCTGAAACAGAACATTTTGCTGAAGCTTTCATCCTAGAGTCATCAGGGCAATTTGCATGAATATCAGTTTAAGGGGAAACCAACATTTATTCAATATGGGAGGAGAATACTGATTGGTTGGTAAGTGGGCTCTGATCAGTTTAGGTGTTGCCATAGAGAATGCACCAGTTAATAATGATTGACAGTTAACTATTAGCCTTTTTATTAGTGTTAAACCAGATTGACTCTGATTGGTCAACACATTACCCTAAACAATGAATCAACAAATGGCTATCATTTATTTTGATGTCCTGAAGATACAGGTACAGTGCACCAATATTTACAGCCAATAACGGGGAAAAAAGTTTTTTTATAAAAGCAGTAAGAGTAGTTAAAAGCCCACTGCAGTTAACTGCATAAATTTGAATCTAGTATCCAAAAAGAGATGAATTACCAGACATTCAAAGCAGATTTTTCTTCCCTTAGAAGAAACAGAATGATGAAAATTTACTTTCACCTGGAAGTCTGCACCAGAAACCAAAATTAAGACTTCTAGAAGTGATTTTAGCAGTTAGTAAACGTCTCTTTTGATGATAATGTAAAGAAAAAACAAATTAAGGGAGATATTTAGATCTAAATACATTGATTGGAAAAATCAGTAATTTCAAGTATCAGAGCCTAACAGTAAAATTAATGTTTTCTTTTCAATAACTTTGAGCTAAATAAGCAAGTTTATTTTGTAATTAGGGATACTTTATTGATTTGAATTGGAATTTCCAATGCTGTAAAATCATCAGATGTGAGAAAAAGAGCATAAATCTAACCACATGGTGTCAAATCCAGTATCAAAGTACCTTGGAAGTAGGGAACATGGGCATATATCTGTACATTTGGCAGGTCTGGTCATTAAAGGAACTGTCTTCCTATTGACAAACATGGCTGGCTTTTGATGCACCACTCTGGTTCCAATATCAGTGCAGTTGACTACACCCTGCCTCTACTATGGCTGCAAAGTTGACTGTACCTGGCTGTCTGACTCCATGTATCTAAGGGAAAGTACACAAGTTGTTGAGCCACAGTGAAAACGGCATTAATCATCTCCTGGGTAGAATTACGTGCATGCATTTGGGATTCCACAGAAGTTCTAAGTGGCTCCCTGAAACAATCGACACACATAAAACTTGAGGACCACTATTACACTCAAGGGATCTCCAATAGGATTTCCTCTCAACCTTTGTAGATGCTGGTGCTAATCTGGCAGTTGACAGAAATGGATCACATCTTTGAAAGGAGGTGGTTGAAATAACTCCACAGAGGCCAGTATCCCATCACTAAGTCACCCTTTATTTACATGTGGGAAGTCTTTGAAACTGACCCAACTTCATCAGAATGAGCAGAGCCTCTGACACACCTCTTTTTAATCTGTTAGCCAAGGCCCCCTGAATGGGCCAGATTAACAGCCCAAATTAGGAAACTCATATTCTATGAGGTCCACCTGGCTGATTTTGTTACAACCCTTACAGCGGTGATGTTGTGGTTAGGCCACTGGACTAGTAATTGAGAGCCCAAGGCAAATAATCCAGTGTCAATGTTTGAATCCCACTACAATGGACAGTGAGATTTGAATTCAATAAAATCTGGAATTTAAATCCACGCTAATGGCAACTATGTCATCATTGTCAATTGTCATAAAACACCACTAATTCACTTATGGCTGTTAGGGAAGGAGATGTGCTGTCCTGACCTGGTCTGGTCTTCAGTTGACCCCTGATGCACACTAATGTGGTTGCCTCTTAACTGTCCTCTGAAATACTCTAACAAACCATTTTGAATAATTGAGACCCTAACACAGATCCTTGTGGGACAGCCTGATCACATCCGTCTTCAAGAGAACGATGATGAAGGTATGGGATCCAGTAGGACGGACTGTGAGCTGCTTGAGCAAATTGACATGGGGAAAGATATGGTATTGGAGATGTTAGCAGGTTTACAGTGGACAAATCTCTGGGTCTGGATGAATTATATCCCAGGCTGCTTTGGCAGGCAAGGAAAGAGATTGCAGGGGCACTGACCCAATTTTTAATTCTTATCTGGCTGTGGGGAAGTACCAGAGGAATAGAGAGCAGCTAATCTGGTTCCAATATTTAAGAGAGGTTGTAGAGATAAGCCAGAGAACTACAGACTACGAGTCTCACGTCAGTGGTAAGGAAACTAATGGAGAACATTCTGAAGGAGAGCATCTATCTTCTTGTGGAGAGACAAGGCTTGATCAGGGAGAATCAGCATGGCTTTGTCATTGGGAGATCATGCCAAACAAATTTGATTAAATTTTTTGAGGAGGTGACCAGGTGTTAGGCTAACGGTAGTGCAGTTGATGTAGTTTATGTGGATTTCAGCAAAGCCTTTGATAAGGTGTCACACAGGAAAGTTATCAAGAAGAAAAATACATCCCAGATACAGGGTCATTTGATAAAGTGGATTCAAAATTGACTCAGTTGTAGGAGGCAGAGGGTGATGACAGATAAAAACCGAAAGAACTGCGGATGCTGTAAATCAGGAACAAAAACAAAGTTGCTGGAAAAGCTCAGCCAGTCTGGCAGCATCTGTGAAGGAGAAAACAGAATTAACGTTTCGGGTCTGGTGACCCTTTCTCAGAACTGATGATAGATAGCTGCTTTAGTGGTTGGAAGCTGTGTGCAGTGGCGTACCACAGGGATCTGTGTTGGGTTCCTATTATTCATTACTTATATAAATGACATATATGACATTGTTAGGGTTGGATTAGTAAATTTGTGGATAAAGCAAAGATTGGTCAGTTGGTTAACAATAGGATTGAGTGTGTTGGGCTACAAGATGATATAAGTAGGATGGTCAAATGGGTGATGAGGCAGATGGAATTTAACTTTGTAAACTGTGAGGTGATACACTTTGGAAGCAGTAATTTGACAAGGCATTATTCAATGAACAGCATAGCGCAAGAAAGTTCTGTGGAACAAAGGGACCTTAGTGTTTGTCTATAGGACTTTGAAGGCAGAAGGGCATGTTAGTTGAGTGGTAAAAAAAATGTATGGGACATTTGCCTTTATCAATTGAAGCATAGATTACAAAAGCAGGGAAGTCATGTTGGAATCGTATAGAACTTTGGTGAGACCAGAGCTAGAGTACTGTGTGTAGGAAGGATGTGATTGCACTGCACGGGATGCAGAGGAGATTTATCAGGATGCTTCCTGGGAAGGAAAATTTAAGTAATGAGAAAAAATAGGATAGGCTTGGATTGTTTTTGTTGGAGCAGACAAGACTAAAGGGGATCTGATGAGGTGTACAAGATTATGAATGGTTTGGACAGAGTGGATACGGAGCAGCTGTTCACCTTAGTTGAAAAGCCAGTCACGAGGGAGATGGGTTCGAAGTGAAGGGCAGGAAGTTTGGCAGGATGTGAAGAAAAACATTTTTACCCATAAAGTGGTGATGGTCTGGAATGGGGTTAAAATTGTTTCAGAGATAGTAGGAACTGCGGATGCTGGAGAATCTGAGATATACAAGGTGTAGAGCTGGATGAACACAGCAGGCCAAGCAGCATCAGTGGAGCAGGAAGGCTGACGTTTCGGGC